TTACACACACACACACACACACACACACACACACACACACACACACACACACACACACACACACACACATACACACACGCCACCCTTACACATACACACACACACGCCACCCTTACACATACACACACACACGCCACCCTTACACATACACACACACACGCCACCCTTACACATACACACACACACGCCACCCTTACACATACACACACACACGCCACCCTTACACATACACACACACACACACACACACACACACACACACACACACACACATTGATCCAGCAAACAGCGAACACTCGCTGACTCACAACATATGAGTCGACCCCCACGCCTGTGGGTCGTCTGGTATGCGATATACCAGTGTAGTAATACCTCATGGTACATAATATTATACTCTACCTCTACTTCTCGGTGTATATACACTGAGAGTCTCTATTTACTGCCACAACGTACGAAATAAAGGGGGCTAAAACGCATGAACTCAAAGAACTCATAGAAAACGTGTGAGCCGCTATTTTTCCATAGTACCCCCTAATATTGTACGTTGGTGACCATATCGTACACAATGAGAGGTTGATAGGCCTTAGAGCCAACACCAAAAGATATTACAGCAAATGTCTGGCTTAGAGTGACGGTAATTAAATATATATATAATGACCTAGTCATTATCATGGTCATATGTTTGACCTGCCCGAAACTCTGCGCGTACTAGTGGCTTTACAAGATTGTCAATACTATGCTATGTATTCTCACAAACCCAATGTACCTTCTTGTATATAAATAAATAAATAAATAAATAAATAAATAAATAAATAAGAAACAGTGTGTTACCCACTATTTAATTGAGGGAGCCGGTCGGCCGAGCGGACAGCACGCTGGACTTGTGATCCTGTGGTCCTGGGTTCGATCCCAGGCGCCGGCGAGAAACATTGGACAGAGTTTCTTTCACCCTATGCCCCTGTTACCTAGCAGTAAAATAGGTACCTGGGAGTTAGTCAGCGGTCACGGGCTGCTTCCTTGGGGTGGAGGCCTGGTCGAGGACCGGGCCGCGGGGACACTAAAAAAAAAAAAGCCCCGAAATCATCTCAAGATAACCTCAAAATACCCGGATGAACTTAAAAATGCCAACTTCCTTAGGACCGGATAATTACACTTTTTTAATTTCCGGATACGGATAAGTAGTCTATGGTTGTCCGGATGACGCGTGATCCGGACTCCCCCCCCCCCCACATTTATCTTAGAGATATGTGTGGGAAGGTATCCACATTCATAGTCGTCATAGACTCAAGGGGGCTTGACTTAGGGAGAGACCTGGGTAAATACTGGCTTGTGAACACAGGGGTTGATTTCTGGCACAGATTATCGGGTAACATAATATAGAGGCGGGATCACTTTTTTGTTTCAAGCGTAGGTTAGACATGTGTATGAACTAGACGCGGGTACCCGGCGTGGCCCGGGTGACGGGCGGCACATCTTCAAAACATACTGTCTTTATCATTGTATTCATCTTAAATACACACTTCCTTCATCACTGTAACTATCTTAAGCATCTATTGTTAGTGGCAGCTGGTGTGTTATCTATCATGTTCATCATCACAGATGAACATGACCGGGTTAGACGGCACTGATGAACAGTGGACACCCACTCATCCCAAGAGTCCCACAGGGCTCAGTACTTGGACCCATCCTGTTTCTAATATATGTAAACGACCTTCCAGAGGCTATAGACTCATTCCTCTCAATGTTTGCTGATGATGCAAAAATTATGAGAAGAATCAAGACAGATGAAGATAGACAGAGACTACAGGATGACCTGGACAAACTGGAGGAATGGTCTAGAAAATGGCTGCTAAAGTTCAACTCAGGAAAGTGTAAAGTAATGAAATTAGGCGAAGGGAGCAGTAGGCTGAACACAAGGTACCATCTGGGAGGTGAAATCCTGCAAGAGTCAAATAGAGAGAAAAAGATCTGGGGGTTGATATCACACCGAACCTGTCCCCAGAGATCCACATCAAAAGGATATCATCAGCATATGCTAGATTGGCCAACATAAGAACTGCCTTTAGAAACTTGTGTAAGGAATCGTTCAGGACCCTGTATACCACCTATGTCAGACCAATCCTGGAATATGCAGCTCCTGCCTGGAGTTCATACCTAGTTAAACACAACATAAAGTTGGAGAAGATACAGCGGTATGCCACCAGGCTCGTCCCGAAACTGAGAGGTATGAGCTACGAGGAAAGACTGAAGGAGCTGAACCTCACGTCCCTGGAAAACAGAAGAGTAAGGGGAGACATGATAACCACCTACAAAATTCTCAGGGGAATTGACAGGGTAGACATAAAGAAACTCTTCAGCACGGGTGGGACACGAACAAGGGGACACAGGTGGAAACTGGGTACCCAAATGAGCCACAGAGACGTTAGAAAGAAATTTTTCAGTGTCAGATGTTAACAAATGGAATGCATTAAGCAGTGATGTGGTGGAGGCTGACTCCATACACAGTTTTAAATGTAGATATGATAGAGCCCAGTAGGCTCAGGAACCTGTACACCAGTTGATTGACAGTTGAGAGGCGGGACCAAAGAGACAAAGCTCAACCCCCGCAAGCACAACTAGGTGAGTACAGTGGGGGGGTGCACCGCCTAGCGGCCCGAGGTGGTGGTGGTGTTGGGGTCCCCGCGGGTCAACGCTCTCCGCTACAACACCTCGCGCCGCCATATTGGGATGACGGAGGCTACAACCACAACTCCTAATCATCCCTCCAACTACACCTCCCCTCTCCCCCACCCCCCCCGGTCACTTCCTCCCCCTCAATCACTACTCACCCCCCCCCCCCCACACACACACACACACACTCCTACCGTTCGGTTACTCACGCCGGCTAACTTACGAATACAATGCAAATACAATAGATGCAGGCGCGCACCCCTGACACAGGTAGGGGAGCACATTGACACACACACACATTACCTGCAACCCAAGAGAGCAGCTTACCTCTCCTCCCCTCTTCCCTTCCCTCTTCCCTTCCCTCTTCCTCTCTCCCTTCCCCTCCTCAACCCTCTCCTCCGTCTCCCTTCCTCCCACGCCGCCTCAAAAACCCTCCCCCTTGCCTTAAATTCCTCCTCCACCTGTGGAGTGATTATGGGCGCCAGGTGAGCTAAGGCTCTTGTCCCCAGGGCTGACTGTAGGGGTGAGGGGTGAGGGAAGAGGGAAAGAAGGTAACCCTAGAGTCTCCTACCTTAAGATGGTTGTGATAATCAAGTTCCCGGCGGCCTGGGGTGTTCCACCAGACTGTTGGGCGCTGTGCGACGTACGAACCACAGCCCGGTAGGAAATGGAGGAGAGAGCGAGAGAGAGAGAGAGAGAGAGAGAGAGAGAGAGAGAGAGAGAGAGAGAGAGAGAGAGAGAGAGAGAGAGAGAGAGAGAGAGAGAGAGAGAGAGAGAGAGAGAGCGAGAGAGAGAGAGAGAGAGAGAGAGAGAGAGAGAGAGAGAGAGAGAGAGAGAGAGAGAGAGAGAGAGAGAGAGAGAGAGAGAGATAATGCAAGGTAACCACAAGGTAAGGTGAGAGATAGCTTTAAGACGTAAATGAGAGAGACGTCAGTAGCTTCAAGAAGGCAGGTGACTATCCTTAAGCATCATACCCATCCTGTGAGTGGTAGTGGACCCCAGACCCATCCTGTGAGTGGTAGTGGACCCCAGACCCATCCTGTGAGTGGTAGTGGACCCCAGACACCATCCTGTGAGTGGTAGTGGACCCCAGACCCCATCCTGTGAGTGGTAGTGGACCCCAGACCCATCCTGTAAGTGGTAGTGGACCCCAGACCCCATCCTGTGAGTGGTAGTGGACCCCAGACCCATCCTGTGAGTGGTAGTGGACCCCAGACCCATCCTGTGAGTGGTAGTGGACCCCAGACCCATCCTGTGAGTGGTAGTGGACCCCAGACCCATCCTGTGAGTGGTAGTGGACCCAGACCCATCCTGTGAGTGGTAGTGGACCCCAGACCCATCCTGTGAATGGTAGTGGACCCCAGACCCATCCTGTGAGTGGTAGTGGACCCCAGACACCATCCTGTGAGTGGTAGTGGACCCCAGACCCATCCTGTGAGTGGTAGTGGACCCCAGACCCATCCTGTGAGTGGTAGTGGACCCCAGACCCATCCTGTGAGTGGTAGTAGACCCCAGACCCATCCTGTGAGTGGTAGTAGACCCCAGACCCATCCTGTGAGTGGTAGTGGACCCCAGGTTACAGAGGCACATAACGGGCTGAGGAACTGTACCCAAAGTTCAGTTAATTAGACAAGCTACAGAGTTTATTAACATTATACATTAACTACGAGTTGACAGTTAATCAAACTAGGATGTTGTTGTTATAGATTCAGCTACTCGGAACCAGTTGCAAGTAGCACGGGCTATGGTGAGCCCGTAGTGGACTTACCTGGCACAGAAGCGGGGCTGACTGCAAAGTAGGAGGTCGAGAAAGGCCAGCCTTGCACGCTCGCTGCACATGACTGCTATATGAACGGTTGGGTACCTTTACGTCGCTGTTCGCCCCTATGCACCCAGCAGTAACTAGGGACCTGCTTGACTAGCAATTAGCGGATCATTTTCTGCGGAAAGTGAGTTGGGTAATGATTATGAGCTGTGGGAGGGGGAGCTCTTAGGAGAGCTGTGGGAGGGAGAGCTCTTAGAGCTGTGGGAGGGAGAGAGCTCTTTGGAGAGCTGTGGGAGGGGGGAGGACGGGAGACACCAGGAATACACTAAGCACAATATATACACAAGCCAAGGTCAAGCAGCAAGGGACACAACTGGAATGCTGGGATGGGTCTATAATGTCCCAGGACGTCCCAGGACGCCCCAGGACGCCCCAGGACGCCCCAGGACGTCCCAGGACGCCCCAGGACGCCCCAGGACGTCCCAGGACGTCCCAGGACGCCCCAGGACGTCCCAGGACGCCCCAGGACGCCCCAGGACGTCCCAGGACGCCCCTATAACCTTACCTGTGTGCCCAGAGTGAGGACTCGGCCAATCAGCGTCTGCCCCTGGAAAGTGATGCCACGTAATTATATTTGTTAATACCGTCAGTTAATTAAACGAAGGTAAGGGAGGATTACACCTTTTTATTCAATTAATTATTCAATTATCTGGATTTTAGAGGAAGGGAATGAAACTATCAGGATAAAGCGCCAAGCCATTACGACTATATAGCACTTGGAAGGGGTCAGGATAAGGATTTGGGATGGGACGGGGGGAAAGGAATGGTGCCCAACCACTTGGACGGTCGGGGATTGAACGCCGACCCGCATGAAGCGAGACCGTCGCTCTACCGTCCAGTTCAAGTGGTTGGGTGGATTTTAGAGGAGTAATTACCCGTGAGTATACAAGCATGTATATATAATCTTTTAAGTATTTATATGCATCTCTTGCGTGCATATGTATGACGTATTCATGTGGCACATGTATATCTATGACACCCAGGTATGTATCAAAGATACAAAGATACTCCTCTTCTCCTCCTGCTCCTCACTATGTATATATGTATGTTCAGCATACATGCGTACGTTCCCATGCGTATAGGACCGTGCTGGCGCGTATAAATTACGTCCTCTGACGTTCGGTATAATTAATAGGACCTGTTCACTGCGGTCTTTTGCTCCGTGTGATAAATACTACCTCGAGGACACGACCTGGGCCTCGAGGACACGACTTGGGCCTCGAGGACACGACCTACACCCCGAGAACACGACCAACACCCCGAGAACACGACCTACACCCCGAGAACACGACCAACACCTCAAGAACACGACCAACACCCCGAGAACACGACCTACACCCCGAGAACACGACCAACACCTCAAGAACACGACCAACACCCCGAGAACACGACCAACACCTCAAGAACACGACCAACACCCCAACAACACGACCAACACCCCAAGAACACGACCAACACGCCGAGAACACGACCAACACCCCGAGAACACGACCTACACCCCGAGAACACGACCAACACCTCAAGAACACGACCAACACCCCGAGAACACGACCTACACCTCAAGAACACGACCAACACCCCGAGAACACGACCTACACCTCTACCAGGTACACAGACAACTCGGAGGAGGTGTATCTCCAGCTCACCCACATGACCATTCCCCCTCCCCTCCTCCAGTCGTAATTAAGCACATCACCATTATCCCTTTTCACAATAATGTCGAAACAGTAACCCTTCCACACATCCCGAAAGATATCCCAATCGGGCCACACATCCCAATGGCACGTCACAGTCCCGTCTGAGCGCCACTATTCAACGGAACTAAATTACAACGTTGATGGAGAACTTGGGTGGCCGAGGAATAGGAAACGGCCCAGAAGGGTAGGTAGGGAGGGTAGGTAGGGAGGGTAGGTAGGGAGGGAGGGTAGGTAGGGAGGGTAGGTAGGGAGGGTAGGTAGGTAGGGAGGGTAGGTAGGTAGGGAGGGTAGGTAGGTAGGGAGGGTAGGTAGGGAGGGTAGGTAGGGAGGGTAGGTAGGTAGGGAGGGTAGGTAGGGAGGGTAGGTAGGGAGGGTAGGTAGGGAGGGAGGGTAGGTAGGGAGGGTAGGTAGGGAGGGGTGTTAGAATGTTAGAACGTCATTAAGAAACCTAAATCAGGGCTCTTTCAAGACGTGACCTTTGTTGGGTCAATATTGGAATATGCAGCACCGGCCTGGAATCCGCACCGTCTGAAGAAGTATAAAGGTTTGCAACAAAGTTAGCGCCAGAGCTGAGAGGGCTCAGGTATGAGAATAGGTTAAAGGAAGTAGACCTCGCAACTCTGGGGGAGAGAAGACACAGAGGACATGATCGCAACATACAAGGTACTCATGGAACATGATCGCAATATACAAGGTACTGAGGGGACATGATCACAACATACAATATACTTCAGCCCGTTCTCTCAATTTAACACTCCTTAAAAGTCCAACTGTTTGCTTGACCCGAAACTTGTAACCCCTAAGCAACCCGCCTAAACTACCGAGGCCGAGGTATAGAAAACGTCAATACTTGGGTAGTTTAATATGTTCTAACATGTCGCATTTGAACGAATTGGTCGATTCCCCCCAAAAAATACAAATACACTGTTCTCGGGCAAGACCTCACCTGTCGCCAGGTGTCGTGAGTGGAATGTTCTCACATCCAGTTCGATTTCCCGCACATTAAGTGGGACTGGTGGTGGTGTTGTCGGGAGAATAATGGACGTGGGGCGAGGGACAGTATGTGGGCCCACCTCCACTGTGGGACGGCATCGGTCCCGTGGCATGTCTAGCCAGACTGGCCGACTGATTCATACATTTCGTCCGTTATCCTTCGATGTCTCTCTCTGCCTGTGTTTGTGTCAGTGTTCTGGTAAATTATGTCCTGTTTTGACACTACCCTGACACTTCAACCCGTGGCGTCCCCAACACACACTGTCCTCCAGGTCATTATCCCCCTGGTGTAGGCTTCGCGTCCTGCATGAGAGAATTATCCCCCTGGTGTAGGCTTCGCGTCCTGCATGAGAGAATTATCCCCCTGGTGTAGGCTTCGCGTCCTGCATGAGAGAATTATCCCCCTGGTGTAGGCTTCGCGTCCTGCATGAGAGAATTATCCCCCTGGTGTAGGCTTCGCGTCCTGCATGAGAGAATTATCCCCCTGGTGTAGGCTTCGCGTCCTGCATGAGAGAATTATCCCCCTGGTGTAGGCTTCGCGTCCTCCAGGAGGGAATTATCCCCCTGGTGTGGGCTTCGCGTCCTGCACGAGAGAATTATCCCCCTGGTGTGAGTCTGGTATGCTCCAGAAGGAAATGGTCGCCTCCCAGCACTGGAAGAATAACTCCGGCGCCGCCCGGGTCCCCTGCTACCGCCGGCAACGCTCCCATGACTCTTTTTTCGGAAGTTTTATCTTGTCCTGTATTTTTGTTTCAATTTAATTAATCGACGAACATTCAGAAAATGTACCTCGTGTGTGAGTACAATGGAACACATCAGTTCTTTACACCAGACTGTAATTACCTCTTGAGCGGTTTTAACTTACTTCGCGGGAATTTAGGAGCTTTCTCACGCATCGCCGATTTCAATTATCGTACGAAAATCTCGAAAGTTATTGTACCGGTATATGTTTTATCTATTTTAAAAAGAAGAATATTTGCTGAGAGAGTTTGTAGAGGAGACGAGGATGTGCAGGCAAAGGTCCTCCACTCTCCTGGTGAGATGCTTACCTTAATTGTTGGGTTATATATGGCGTCTCTTTGCGCATCTGGTCGACGACCGGGCCGCGGGGACGCTAAGCCCCGGAAGCACCTCAAGGTAACCTCTCATTCTTGCGGGCTATTCATGCCCGTGCCACCTCTTGGGTGGCTTAATCTTCATCAATCAATCATCTCTCATTCATTCCCTCCCTTTATCTTTCACAGACACACGACGCGCCCTATGACTTGCACAAAACACCTGCCACGCCAAGGAACAATTTAGTGTGACAACAGTCTCATGTTACCGGTGTAACATTACCGGGCTAGTCATGCCCGTGCCACCTTTTGGGTGACTTTATCTTTATCAATCAATGATCGACGGTGTAAAGCGGGAGACAACTCCCGTCCACGAGGCTCACCATAGCCCGTGCTTCTTGCCCCGCTCCTGTGCCAGGTAAATTACGGGCTCACCATAGCCCGTGCTACTGGAACTTATTGTTCTGAGTTGCGAATCTTAAACAACAACAACGGTGTAAAGCACAAACGGCACCGGCTTCGCTAGTGCTAGGAGGATCTGTATAGGTTAGATGGCATGATTTAATACAGCATTACATAGCGTGAGAATGGAAGGAGTACGATTTCCATACGTTCCACTTAACGTTTTCTTCCACTGAATCTTCCTGGTGTGTACCTTAGCCTGCCTGTCCCTCTCCACCTGCGGACCTTCCACCAGTATAGCCGCCGCCTCTCTTATCCGGACCTGCTCTCAGCTCCAGGGTTCCAGTCCTCGCCGTCTGCTCCTCCGGGACACCATTGTCCTCTCCGCTGTCTCTCTCTCTCACACACAAAAGCCACTTGTATTGGAGAGCGGAAGTGACCGTTCTGTGTTCCCTTTCTATACCTGGCCTCCTGAAGGCTGTGTGTCATGTCTGCCGCCTATTTCTGCCTCGCAGGTTTTAATATTTATCTGTATTTTGATTGTTTTATATATATATATGACACAAAATGTTATATATATATATATATATATATATATATATATATATATATATATATATATATATATATATATATATATATATTTTTTTTTCCTGAATGCTCTGTGTTCCCTTCTCTGAGGCTGTGGGTCCCTATAATTGCACCAGAAGTGGTACCCCCCTATATATATATATATATATATATATATATATATATATATATATATATATATATATATATATATATATATATATATATATATATATATATAATTGAGAGAGGGAGAGGCAAATATGAGATAAATAAGAACGAGGCGGAACAGGACGACCTGAAGACTTTTTCCGTCTTAAGAAGAATTACTTTGAAACTTCAAACCGGAAGTAAGTCACTATCGCGTTCTTTGAGGTTGAGGGTCGATGTCCAGGGTGCCGCTGCCGCTCGCTGTGTCTGCTTCACCGCAGACCGCATGGCAACGCTGCTGGGCGGGAAGAGAGCCGGGTCCCTCAGCTGCACTAGGCACATGTTGATGCTGCCCACATGACAGAAGATGACCAAAGATGCTGCGGAATACCACCTCCGACAGCAAGATTGATCACCTCGACAACCTTGACTTCAACAATATTTATATTATAAAGCAGGATTAAAATGTATTGTCTGAATATTTTGGCTTGAATTTTAAATATATTTCTTTACGTGTAAAATGACGGCTATGTTGATGGGTTGCAATATGTATATATGTGTGTGTGACACAAACGCTACGTGAATGCGCGAGCCATAAATCACTATAAGAACTCTTTTTGACCCGTCCGGGATTCGAACCCCTAAAGCCCGAGATCACCCCCCTGGCGTACGGTGTACCG